TCTTTAATTGATAACAGTCGTTCAGAGTCATTTGGATTTCAGAATTCGTTTTCCAGCCCCTAAATCTTGTTATTAATTTCATTTTGATGTCCCGCCCTCCACCGTTTTACCAATCAGAGGGTCTGTGAATTGGGCGCCAGAACTCACTGCGTTGAGCTAATCTACCATGTAGCCGCAGAACTAAAAAGTGTCATTATGATTCTCAGATTATAAACGACAAAACAAGGAATAAACCAGGATTTCTATCTTTGTGAAAAAGGTGTTGGTTATACATTTGTTGAAAAAAACACTTAATTCAGTTATAATGGTCCCAGCTGGATTCGTCTGCATATCTGGCAACCTGAGTCAGGGAAAGTGCAGTACCACTTTTGACCAGATTTATACATACTGCTCCTTTTAATTAAAAGTACAGAAATAAACAAAAGAAAACGGGAAACAATTGACACTGTGAAATTGATCGACTAAAACAGTTTCATTACAAAGGAAAGATCATTTAAAATGCTTTGTTTAAACTGAGAGCGGATCGACACTCACAGGCTCTTAATGAAGGGAATCATTTGAAAAAAGTTTGAATACGGATGCAGAATAATCAAATCATCAACATATTGTTAATTTTGTGATTAGTTTGTGACTTATATAATTGTGTGTGCACCTTACTGCAGCAGGTTTGTGTGAAAATAACTACAGAAAAGTGAGTATGTGTTGTGTGCGTGTAAAACAGCTGTGTGTGTATGTTTTAAACAGTTCACACATTTGTAACGATGGAAAAAACTATGGGTTGGATGAGTTTATTTTTGACTTTTATTTTTACATGGAAAGGCTTAGATTTCAAAGTCTCGTTTTCAGGGGAGTCCTTGTCTCAGAGAGAGAGGATCTATTTTGCATGTATTTAGTGCATTGTGAAACTTTATACCTAAAGGAAACTTATGCAGACATAGGCAGAACATGCAAACTCCACTCTCTCAGATAGACCTCGTCTGAAGGTGGAATCGAACCCAGGACCTTAGAAATAGGAATGCTAAAAACTCAGCCACCGTGTTGTGTGTTTATGCTTAATTACATGTTAAAATTTGTACCTACACTCAGAAATGTACATTCGTAAAAAAGTCAATGTACATAAATAAAAAAGTCTAAATCACAAACACACAAATTTGACTGCTTTATGTTACGAACAAATTCAAATATCCATGTGAGTGAATATAAGCGTGCAAATGTTTCTTTTACAGATTCTCATCCCATCGTTCTGTAAGCGCAGGATGCTCTGTCTTCCAGAAGCTGCTGCACTACCACTTTCACAGTAACAATCAGCCGCACTGATGTGCAATGACAGGCCAGGGGCTCGAGGGTCTGCAGCAAATGGGAAGAATAGACGGGAATCTTGTACTGACAGGCAAGCGGCCAGGAGGGGGCTCTAAAGGCTGGGGTCTACTGCTGCTGCTGGTTTTTTACATCCTCTCTTGAGTTGATAACATTTAACGACCATTTAGGGGTTTTTTTGTTGTTGTTTTTGTTGTTGTCCATTTAATTCAATGTATTCTTGTATAGCCCTAAATCACACTAGTAGTTATCTCAGAGGACTTAACAAAACTGAAAATAGCAAACTCAGATCAGAGAATCAAGCACAAAGAATAGAGAACTCATAAGTATTGGTCCATAAAGGGGAGTTGACCAATGTCCATAGTGTTGAAAAAGTCTTTTGGAGTTCGCTGTGTCTGGGTGTGTTCTCTCAGGGCTCTACAGTTTGTTTTTCTTCCCCAAAACAAGCAGCATTAGAGAATCTAGTGTTTTGATGGTGGTGGTCGGAGTGGCCTTCTACCCCCGTATTTGGCATTGGCCTCAGACCATTGCAGACCCCGCCCCTCCTTACTAGCTCTTTAGTTGCTATGTAGTATCTGAGAGTTTGGCTCTGAGTTCCAGGCTGGCCTCAGACCAAGTGTGTTTTCTGCGTGTGAAAAAATCCCCAGAACTGAGAAATTAAATCCAGACCAAAGAAGAAGTCTGGAGAGATCAGAGACTGGGGCGACAGTGGCTCAGTTGGTAGAGCATTGACCTTTGAGCCTGAAGGATGTGGGTTCGAGCCCATCGCAAGACTCGACCGACTCCTGCGTCCATGGGCAAGACACTTTACCCCACTTTGCCTCTAGGGAATGCAAAAGTAATAGTGTGCTGCATGCCTTGTTGTGCATCTGTGATCATGACTATTTATCAAACCTAATTTCTCCATTGTGAGATCAATAAAGTATTTCTTCTTCTTATTGCCCTGCTTCTGACATGCAAACAGCAGAAATCGGTTCAATAGCAAAAAGGTCCCGCTCATCAGGTTACCAGCACTTGACCATGGAGCCTGTTTGAGCCAGCTCTAATTAGACTCTCTGGGGACAAGCCAAATGCAATGGGTGACCTCAGCTTTTAGATTCTCCATTCCTTCTGCATGGGTATGACGGCATTTATAAAAGGGACCAAATACAAAAAGAACTTTATGACTTACAAACGGTGAAATGCAATGTTACTGTATGTATTTATGTTTATTATTCTCATAAGCACAGTCTATAGCAGTCTCTTCTCCCCTGCCTCTACATTCCCCTCTGTATCCCACACAGAGACGCCGGAGCATTAGCACCCTGCCGCAGTCCAGAGTTGCTCTTGAATATTTCAATATTGCTGTGCTTATCTGGCAGCCCCCATGACCTGCCTGGATGAGCGCGGAGAGGTGCAGATTGGCATGGCTGACTGTGAAATGGATACTATACACAGTCATATATAAGTGAAGAAGTAGCCCAGAGCTGAAGTGAGCAAGGACATGAATACTGGATCGGCCTCCAGCTCATTTAACGGAAAGAATTTGGTAAAAAAGAGGGAAAGTCCTTCTTAAGACATTATATTAGATCCGGATTGTGAGGTTTCAATAACCTGTTTTCTTTCTTCATAATGCTAATACAAATCCAGGTTAATTGTGATTATAATCTGTTTTTACCACTGAAGGATTTTATCTTTACTCTTTTTAACGCTATTCATAATTTTAGTAGTAGTAGTTCCGGCCACTCCGGAGCTAGCCACGATCATTAAACGCAAATGCCAATCAATCAACGCAATTAAATGTTAATCGGAGAGTATATTATACATGTACATTCTTAATATAAGTGCACGGAAGTTTTCAGAATTTTTCGTTTACGTTTTCATGACAAAAACACTGATGTAATGCGAGAAAAGGCGATCCCGAAAAACCCGGAAGTAGATACCGGCACATTTTAGGACACATTTGCAGAGGATCAAATTATGGATTTAGGTTAAGTTTATGTTTGGGTCACTCACCGCTGGTGTTCAGGATTCTTTGTTCAGTTTTCATGCAGTTCCAGAGAGTTCTAGTTTGGAAGTTGCCAGCCTAACTGTTGCTAGCATAGCCACGGGAAAGCCTTTGGGAACTATTTTATTTTCTGTCATTAAATAAACCTTTCGGCATTCCTAAAAGTGGACTGAAGTTTATGTTGTGTGTTCTGTTGGTATACAGCCGTGTAATAAGCGGGATAACGTATAGTACGCAGGTCATTATTGGAAAATAAGTACCTTCAGGGTGGAAGCAGACCCTGACGCCCTGTTGGTACTTGTTTTCCGATAATGACCTGCGTAATATATTATCCCTTACGTACATTTAGTTTTTAGGTAAATAATTTTTTTTAGCATTAGTTGATGAACTTACCCCCACAATAGGGCTGTTTCAAATAAATAAATACAAACAGAGGAGAAAGAAGTCCGGCTGCCTCTCAGAGAACCTCCATCATGTGTTTAAATGCATTCAATCATAGTTGAAAACACTCACTATCCACACAATATCATTACAGATCATTTACATAAGTTATACAACACAAAGTAGCTATTTGTTACTCTGAGCCATTTGCTCTGCAGCCACACTCCTAATGTAGCATGCAACTACATAAAACCGTATTGATTGAATAAAAAAGCGCTGCCTCCATTCTTCTCTGGCATTCTGCGCAAGCGGCACTTGCAAATTGTGATCTATGGCGAGTAAAACTTCTCCTGATGGCCAGTTGCCCTTTCATTTGTCTCTGCCAGAGTAATCACTGTTTATCTGTTTCACATCATTGCTCCTGTACCTGCACGCTACGCACTTGCCTTCAGCCGCCTCGAGTGCCACATGTAAAGTTGGAAGGGTCCGAAGCCTTTCCCAGACCTCCGCTGTAATGAAGCCTGCAGAGGGTCAGTCTTGTAGGCTACTTGCTGCAGCCAATCAAAGCCTTCACCCTCGGCCAATCACACGGCGCTGCCAAACTATGCCAATTAAGCCAGCTGGGGAAAAACGGAAACTTCCCAAAATCGAACCCTTTTTCCCGAGTTGATCTTGAGGATTCCCTTTCATCTACTCACACTTCGCAACCACCACCTCCCTGCCTCCTTTTCGGCCTTCTATCCATGCTTTCATCTCAACTTCACCCTAATCCTACCACCAGTACCTGCCCCTCATGCTACCACCGGTACCTGGACCTCATTCTACCACCAGTATCTAGGTCCAGGGGAATTATAAGCATCACACAAGGAATGATCTTCACCAACAAAGTGCAGCTGCCGGGACCTAGGGCCAGACAAACTAATGAATAAACTCATTTAAATAAACATTTTGTGCCTGTGCAGTCTCTCCAGATTGAAATATATTCAAACCTATCCTTTCCGTGCATTGGTGATCGCCGTGTTCCCAGCAGCCGCCTCCTTCCCTTGAGATGTTTGAGCCATAGGATTTAGGTGCTTGCAGGTTGTGGGGTCGCTAACCGCACGTCGCCTGTCTAAGTGCTCCCCAAGCGTCATAAATCTGAGCCCAGTTTATGGCTTTGTCTGTGGAGGCAAACAAGGTGTGAGGACGAAGAGGCGCGGGACTTAATGACAGAAAAAAAGCAGAGAGAGAGAGAGAGGTTGCATGGTGTGATTAGATCGCTCCACACGACACATGAGTAATTTATCTGCCGTTAATGCGCTGCAGCTGCAGGCTAATGAGACAGGCCGCAGACAGGACGGAGCTGGACCCCCGCAGAACCAGGCGCTCACATCTCCATTCTGCTGAAAGGGTGTTTTTAGCTTATCCCAGTGAGTTAATGTGGCCATTTTTAGTTGGATCTTTGCAACACTTATAAACAGCTCGGAAGCATTTAGTAATAAAAGGTTAGTGATTTTATATAATTATGCTAAAGTTGGATAGTTTAGATTTGCTTACTTATTATGCTAAAGTGATAGAGTTCATACTTGCTTCTTCAGTTGCTAAAGTCAGAGATTTTAGATTTGCTTACTTATTATGCTAACGCTAAAGATGTAATATTTTCTTCTTCAATTTGCTAAAGTTGAAGATTTTAGATTTTCTACATTACTAGGCCTAGAGATTTTAGATTTCCTTCTGTATTATGCTAAAGCTGGAGATTTCATACTTGCTTCTTCATTATGCTAAAGCTAGAGATTTCATCCTTCTTTACTATGCTACAGACAGCTACTTTCATCGCTCCGTAACACAGTCACACGATTACTTTCGGATAGAAGTATCGACTGTAACTGTATCAAACGCTGGCCTCTGTTTGCAACGTGAAGTAAAAAGTGAAATATTTGTCGTGATTTGAATCTACATAATAGCCACATGCTATAATCACTTAAAAGATAAAGTCCTTCTGCTAATTGTGTCCTCTCAGCCCTAATGACACTGCAGCAAACACATTATTTCAGACATAAAAACAAGCAGCACTCAGACATTTAGTCTTGCATTATGATTCTACACTGCTTTTATGTCCTCATGATTACACAATCCCCTGCCCCATTACGAATCACTTTACCTCCCCCTCCATTTTGTTTTACAGTTGAATAACAAAACAGGTTTATTTTTTTTATTTCGATAATTCATTAAAATCCTTCATAAGTGGAATTTGCCATGATGCTTCTCTCTCATCGGTATTAGCCTTCGACAACCTTTTCATCCAGTCATAAGAACCCGTAGTATTTCAGTATATGGCGAAACCCGAATAAGGAAAAGCCTTATGAATTATTGATTGTGAGTTCCTCCACTCGCTCCGCCTGCAACCCAGCTTTGAGACAGATTCTTTTCAAATCCAACTGGCTTTGCAGGGCTCTTGGTTGTGAAAGGGAAGATAAGGAGAAGCAATGGCTGCTCCAAACCAATTAAAGCCGACAGGGAGTCCGGTGCTCCCCCGTCTCTCTCCCCCACACGCTGCCATGCCATGAACCCTTAACTCCTCCCCATTGGTCCAAGTCAAACCTTTCCCAAGGTGGTCTCCCTATAATGTCGGAACAGCCTTTCTCAATCTGGGGTCCCGACACCAGCTCTGTTTTTCTCCACACTCCACTGCCCCTTGCTTCTCTCTCCCCCGCTGGTCAGTCCACAAGGCGCCAGATTGACAAGTTGCAATTTGGCAGAAAGACCACAACTGTTTGTTATAGGACGCAACAAACAAACCCAGTCTCCAGATCACTAACCGCAAAATCAAATGTCCAAACAATCAGCGGTCAGGCACCCCGTGTGGGACGTGCAGGTGGGAGGAGGATTGGCTGTAGCCCGGACGCTGGGAGTACCACTCAAGGGCATACGGGCTGTGTTCATAAGATTAGAGAGAGTCCTGTTGCATGCGGTGTTCATCTATTGGAGGTTACAGTTTATCCCGTAGAACCCAGACATGAAAATATGTGTCTGTGCCATTATCAAATTTGCCAATTGTAGCATATTTGCTCCTTGGGTTTTTGGGTACATACATTACATAACATTAGGCTAGCATTGGAAATTAGCCTTGGCTGTATATTTTCTAGCGTTTCATGTTGATTGTGTGCACTTGTCCCTATAAAATCAATACATATATAAAGGAATAATGCATCAAACCAAAATACATTTTGAACTTTATGTTTCATAATTGTAACCAAGGGTGCTTTGAGGTTAAAGTTGGAAACCGAACTTTGAAATCTCACAATAACGTAATACAACCAGTGCAGCCAGTTCTTAGCTCTTGAAACAGTTTGGTTTGTCACTAAATCGTCTGTCAGCGGAAAATAAAACACTAGTCCTGACTCAGCCAAACAGCTCACAGTATGTAAATATACCTTGTTTTATATTGAGATAATGACAGCATCTTTTGGTCAGATTAGTTCACAACATTTTACATGTAAAAAAAAGCTGTGACAAATTTTACATGATAAAAACTCAACAAAACAAAACCAAATCAGTCAGGCCCAACTTTAGGACATTCTGTTTTTGGTGACCTCTGCTGCATCTCTGAGGCTATAGCTGCTGTATCTGCACATATGTAGGGAGAAAAACAAATACAATATAAATCAATGCTCAAATGTGTATATTTATTAATATCTGTCTTTGTTGAAGCTGCAGCACACAACATCTTTGTAAGAAAACCATCATGTGTCTTTTGTTTCTTCAAATGGCAGTTATTGCTTCCTGTTTTATCTGGCCTGTTCTCACAATTTCATAAAAAGCCTTTTTTCCTCCACATTTTATTTAACTGTGTGACATGTGCTGCCACACATCAACATTCAGCAAATATTCTGATTGGCTATACTTGCAAGTGAAAGCCAGATCCCTTCATACCTGTAAAGCTGTGCAGGGCAGGGTGTGGTTAATACTGTGATGGGAGACCTCTGGGAACAACAGGTGCCACAGTGGAGCGTCTGTGTAGTGCCAAACTGTTGTGTGCTGTGGCAAGCACTTCACCCACATTGTCTAAAATGAGTCTGGTGTGTGTGAATGGATGGTGGTGCTTGAAGGGGCCGATGGCACAGACTGGTTGCCTCGATTCTGTCAGTGTGCCCCAGGGCAGCTGTGGCTACAGTAGTAGTTTATCACCACTGTGTTTGGAGTGAATGAAAAATGATGTGAAGAATGTGAAGCGTCTTTGAGTGTCCTGAGAAGCACTATGTAAAACCAATGCATTTTTGTTATTATTATCATCTTCCTACAGTACTTTGCATTCACTATGGGGACATGGCAGTGACAATGGGCCTCATTCACGAATAACTTCGTAATAAACTTCTTAACTTTCTTCTCAAGTCGTTCTTAAGTAGATTTCTAAGAAGACCCTAAGTGGGATTCACCAACGTGCTCGTAAACCGCTGAATTGTTCGCAGCTGTTCTCTTAGATCGATGAATGCCAACTCCTCGTAAGTAGAGCGCGCGTGCCCGGTGCTTCATTAGCATAGGTACTTAGCATAGGTAACCGCCCATTAATGCCCATAAAAGGGACTGCAGGGCCGTGTGCAGACGCCAGAGGAAACAGCAACAGGCCTAAAGCAAAAAGTTACACGGAGAAAAAGAGTCACTTTTTTCTTCTTTTGCCAGACTGAGAATAAAGTAATAAAATGTTGACTTAAAAGTCGAAATATTATGAGAATAAAGTCGAACTAGCAAAATTATGAGATTAATCTAAAAATATTATGAGATTAATCTCAAAATGTTATGAGCTTAATTTAAAAATATATTATGTATTAATTTAAAAATGAATCTCAAAATATTTTGGACCCTGGGAGGAGATCCAGCGCGGACCAGCACTGAGACCAATGCAGACCCGAGGAGAGACGGGAGTGACCAGCACACAGAAACCAGCGCGGACCTATAGGAGAGACTGCATAGACCTGACTGGAGCCAGCGCGGACCGAGGAGAGACCGTAGACTGAAGAGACCTGACTGGAAAGACAGGTGCTGCGAGACCAGCGCGGACCGAAGAGAGACCGCATGGACCAGACTGGAGAGACCAGCAAGGACCCGTATGGATCCAGGAGCGTGCAGCACGGACCCGTATGGAGAGGCCAGTGCAGACCCGTCTAGAGCAATGGGAGAGACCAGTGCAGACCCGTCTAGAGCAATGGGAGAGGCCAGTGCAGACCCGTCTAGAGCAATGGGAGAGACCAGTGCAGACCCGTATAGATCCATAGGAGAGACCAGTGCAGACCCGTATATATCCATAGGAGAGACCAGTGCAGACCCGTAGAGATCCATGGGAGAGACCAGCGCAGAGACTCAGAGCGGACCCCGCAACCTCCTGCAGCAGCAGTATACTGTATATTCCATTGTTCTGTGGCCCGTGGATAAAGAAATGCCCCCTATAAATTGGATGGGGTCACTAATACACGGCAAGATTTCCAATGTATTTGATAAAGCGTTGGCACATTTCATTTCAAAATGAATTTAAAAAATAGGCTAAATTACCATTAACAATTAAATAAAGAAATACATACATCAATATGACGGACATATCACTGTAATGTTGTGTTTTGTTCATAACTTCATAACACCAGTGTGCGAACATGTCGGCACTGAATGTGCGTACAAGTGCTCCTGAGGACTCGTAGGATTTGTACGTACCCAAGAGAAATTCTGGTTACGAGAAAATTTCATGAATGCCACAATCTTCGTAAAATCTTCGTAAGTAGGATTTACGCACAAATTTGTTCTTATGTACGGTTCGTGAATGAGGCCCATTCTTACTCCCAACAATTCAGATCAATCCTTTGTCATTATTCACTGGTTTTACAAGTTGCAGGGATTATATTTCATTTCCCTAGGACATAGGACAAGAAAATCATAGTTGATGCTCTGTAGGAAGACACACAAATTCACCTTAAAATATCAAGCCAGCAGTGACTCCATATTTTGTTCTTTCCTAATCGCAGTTTTATTCAGTGCACTCAAATTAGAGAAGACATGCTGCAGGAAAACATTTGCTCTGTAGATTTTCCACAGCATCTTCAAACGGGAAAGGAATCATTAGACAGAGTTTGTTTTGTAAATGAACCTGGCTTTGTTTATCCAGAGAACATCATAACGTCTTATTCTCTTTGAAATAATGAAGTGGAAGAAACAATATGAAATCATCTTTAATGTCTTAATTCATTCTTTAGTTTCCATTGGTCTATTACCCCAGAGAAACGGCAACTTTCACTTACTTTTGGGTTTGTTGCCTACTGTTTTTGATGATTTTGTCGCTCAATCTTTCTTCAACAAATGTGAGTACACACGCGCCCATACGCACGCACACACACACACACACACACACACGCTCACACATACATGCACACACACACACGCCCACACATACGCGCACACACACACACACGCTCACACATACATGCACACACACACGCTCACACATACACACACACACACGCACACATGCACACACACACACGCACACACATACACGCTCACACATACATGCACACACGCTCACACACACACACACATACACACACACACACACACACACACACGCTCACACATACACACACACACACACGCTCACACATACATGCACACACACACACGCCCACACATACACACACACACACACGCTCACACATACACACGCACACATGCACACACGCACACACCTTTATAACCTTCTATTACTTAACAAAATCTGCAAATAAAACACACATTCTAAAGCGTAGGTGTCAAAGTCAAGGCCCGGGGGCCAGATCCGGTCCGCAAATTATTTATCTTGGCCCCTGGGATGATGCTGGATTAGAATTAGAACCGGCCACACAGAGCCATAAGAAAATATTGGATTATTTATTTACTGTTCAGGACGTGTGTTTTCTCTTTGAAGGAAGTTTATTTTTGTCTGTGAGCTGCAGATTTTTTTTTTTCACTTAAAATTAGAGAATAACGACTATATTATTCATTTAACCATTAAATACAATAAGGTCCACTGTGTTAGGTCTTGGTTCAATATGTTTTATGCATCCTATTAATGTTTTATTGAACATTGAACCAGTACAGCCCTGAAAACATACCTACATTTTATCTATACATTAAATACTTACACCCTTTGCAACACTGTTTTGATGAGATCTCTGACAAAGCATCAAGGATATTATTCTATCTTTTTATTTTCATATGAGAATTAGTCACACAGATGAGTCACGGGTATAATGAGAAAAGACGCTGGCTCAATTTCTGTGCGAGAGTTGCTGCTGGGGCACTGGGCTTTCTTTTGCAAATTCATTCAGATTATATTCAAAGAAAATCTGTTGATAATTCATCTATTTGTTTGTTTGAATGTGCATTAATGGACTGTAGATACACCGACTGTAGCGTTGGCCTCATTTCCATCCATTGTCCCACAGTCACGAACACACACTCATTCAGTCTGCTCTACTGCACATTTCTTTAGTGGTATGGGAAACCTACGCAGGTACAGGGAGAGCATGCAAATTCCAAACTGTTTGGCCCAGG